TCATATACGAAACACTTACGAAACATATACGGAACAGATACGGAACATATACGAAACGTAAACGAAACGTATACGAACCGTATCCGGAACATATCCGAAACGTATTCGAAACATTAACCAAACGTATACCAAACGTATACGAAACATATACGCAACTAGACGAAACCCATACGAAACATATACGGCACATAGACGAAGCATTTACGAAACCTAAACGACGCATGTACGAACACTATACGAAACAGCTACGGAACATATACGGAACACATACGAAGCATATACGAAACATATACGAATCCTATTCGGAACATATACGACACCTATACCACACATATACGAAACAAATGCAAATCATATACGAAACATATACGAAACATACACGACACATATACGAAACGCCTACGACACATATGCGAATATATACGAAACATGTACGACACACATACGACACACATACGACACACATACGACACACATACGAAATATAAACGAAACATATACGAAACGTGTACGAACCGTATACGAACCGTATCCGAAACATATACGAAACTCATACGAAACGTATGCGAAACATGTACAATTCATATACGAAACTATACGAAACATTCACGAACCATATACTAATCAGATACGGAGTTACACGAAACATATACGAATCACAGACGAAACATATACGACATATATACGAAACGTACACGAAAAGCATGCAAAACACATACGACACACATACGAAACATATACGAAACATATACGGAACACGTGCGACACATATACGACACATGTACGAAACATGTCTAAAACACATACGAAGCATATACGGCACGTACACGAAACGCATACGAAACACATACGACACATATACGAAACATTTACAAACAAGATACGGAACTATACGAAACATGTACGAACCATTTACGAAACAGATACGACACAAATACGGAATAAATACGAAACATATACGAAACATATGCGAACCATATGCGAACCATATACGAAACATATGCGAAACATATACGGAACATGTACGAAACATAGTAATAGTAATACCCGTACTAGAAGTCGTACAACTAGTCATGTACCCGATTCAGGTGAGGTTCTTCCCGAGAGCCCATTCAGCGGCGCCTACTCAGATTAGGTGTGCGTAATCAGGTCTAAACAGTTTGGATCTGAGTAATAGTCCTGAATCAAATCATCGTGAAATGATTCATAACAGTCGTGGGGTACTATCGGAATCCCTCACCTGTAGAGGAGCCACGATAATAGGGGGCCACGATGGGGGGCAACGACGACCCAACGATCTCGGAGGCCCCGACTGTGGGCCAACGATGGAGGACAACGATCGGCAACCGCTCTCGGCATACCTCGGGCGCCTGGGCTCCTTCACTGGCCGTTAGAAAACTGATACAGAACCCTTGGAGACAAACTCGCAGGGGAAAAATACAGACAATCCTCGGGCCCCGTTTCCCTCAGTACCTCTTCCGTCATGCGGTCAGCCGGCATCGAGAGGGGAAACTGGATCGGATCGGAAACTCGCAGCGGATCGGGCCGCACCGGCACGGAGTCGAACGGGTCGGCTGCGCCAAGATGCACAACGACAACAACAACATGCAAGCACCGGGCCGCATCGGCTCGCCAGCACGCCGGAACCGTGTCCGCCGAGCCTGCTTCGCGCGGGGACGGGCGAGCCGGGCGCGACGAATGCACATGCACTCTTGCGTTAAGTCGGGCGTGCCCCCCACAGGGGTATTTTCGACGAAAAATAAAGAATACAAAAAAAATACTCAAACATTGTCAAAGATGTAGAAAAAAGTCCCCCGACTTTTTTGTGACTGTTTTTGGAGATTCCTCCTGTAGAGGGACGGGCCCGACTTAACTCTAGGGCTTGTGCACATGGCGGGCTCCAGCGGCTTCCTGCCCGCGATGGCGCCCTCGGCCTACTCTTGCGGCCTGCCGCCGCCTCCCACCAAGGCAGAAAGAGGACCCCCTCGATCCCTCGAGGGCGAGACTGCTTCTAGAGCGTCCCATGCCCAGGCATCCGATGCTTTGTTTCTTCTACGCGCGGCCCCCGGACGGCTTTGCATACTGCCTCGTTGTCGCTGACATCCCGGGGGCCCTGCGAGGGCCCCCCCCAGACCGCAACTGGCAGAAACCCTCCGAACCTGATCTGAAATACGCTGAAGGGGGCCACCTGCGAACCCTACCCTTACCCCGAGCCCCCGCATGTGGCCCCCCATCAAGGTATTTCAGAATCGGGTCGGGCTGGCCGAAAGCGACACCGAACTGGATGGGTCGGATCGAGACGGGAGTAGGATGAGGAGGAGGACGAGGAGGAGGAGGAGGAGGAGGAGGACGAGGACGAGGCTTGGAGGAGGAGGAGTAGGAGGAGGGAGGGGGGGGGCGCTGTGCGGCAGAGCGGCGGCCTGCTCGGGCGTGAGCTTCTCGCTGGACCAGTCCGAGCACCCCAGCCGCTTGTCCTCGCGTGGCCGTCGTCGGCGCGAGAAAAGGAAGAGAATGGAAGAAGAAAAAACGCCATAATCATAACCGTTTGGTGTTTGTTCTTCTTCGAGGGAAGGGGCCCAGTCTGTCTAACGCCAGTCATGGGAGTCGGAGTGGTTCCCACACCCTGAGAGAAAACCTCGGACTCGACGTCTTCAAAGTCTGTGGAAGACTGGGCATTCAAAATGCCCCTAACCCAGTGCCCAGTCTGTCTAACGCCAGTCATGGGAGTCGGAGTGGTTCCCCCACCCTGAGAGAAAACCTCGGACTCGGCGGCTTCAAGTCAGTGGAAGATTGGGCAATCTCTCTCTCTCTGTGTATATATATATTTATTGTCAAAAATACCCCTAACCCTTTGAGAAGACACCTAAGTGAGGAGGGTCAAGAAAATTTGGGATAGGGCTCGGGTCTATCTGTTCTCTATGGCATGGCGCTCATGCCGCATGCCTATATCTTACTGTTTGAAGGGTGTGCCCCGACCTTTCTGGCGCTAAATTTTCTCATCGTGTGTATCTGTCGGGGAGACGTAAGACCCAGGTGCGGGGGATTCGGGTTGGCCTGACGCGGCCATCACAAAAATGACGAAACCCAATCTGACATTTGACGCGAGCTCCCGCCGCAAGAACATCCAACGAAAACGGGGCCGTCAACGTCCAGGACGCGCTCGTCAAAACATGCCTGCTAACCCGAGCTCCGGCTTACTCGAGTCTCGGTGGCGACGATAGGGGCGAATAGCCCAGGGGGGGAGCAATCCATGTATCCAGGGGTGCCGACGATCTATGTCTTCGACGAGGCTCCCGGGCGAGTGCGTGCAATGCCCGCCCCTGGGCTATTCGCCCCTGTCGTCGCCGCCGGGAGCCTCACGCTTCCCCGAAGCTGCCCCGCGCCCCCGGCGACGCGGCCCGCGCCCCTTCTCCTTGTCCAGGTTGCACCCCAGCACCTCGTGCGCGCAGCGCTTCAGGCTGAGCCCGCGGGACGCCTAGGCCGCGGAGGGCCGGGTCGGGCACGCCCCCCCCCATATATACAGGCGGCTGTTGGACGAAAACAATACAGCAAAAAAATAAAGCATGCACAGAATAATATGCTCCAACATACTAGAAACAATAATCAAAGTCGTTCCCCTGACTATGTTTTAAACTGTTCTTGCATATTCCTCCTGTCGAGGGACCACGCCCGCCTCTTCAGCCGAGGGCGGGGTGGGGAGGGCGAGGCGGGAGGAGCCCCTCTCGGGCCCCACAGGCGGGCCCCCCCGGCCTGGCCCGCGAGCCTCCCCACCGAGGGGGAGGGGGGGGGAGGGCGGGAGGGCCCCCCCGGGCCCCCGACGCCATGGTTTTTATTTCCCCAAGCGGCGCCTGCGCTGAAGGGGCCCCCGAGTTGGAGGGGGTAAGGAGGAGGAGGAGAGGGGTAAGGAGGAGGAGGAGGAGGAGGGTAGTGGAGGAGAGGAGAGGAGGAAGGAGGAGAGGAGGAAGTGGAGGTGGAATGAGCGGAATGGCAGGGGAGGCGGTCAGCACGGCAGGCGCACGCGAGCCCGAGGAGAAGATTACTAGGCCAGGGGAGGAGCAGCAGCAGCATCGGGAGCGGGCACGGGGGGTCCCAGGTCGGTCTCGAACCTTCGGACCTCCTCCGTGCTAAGCTCTCTCGGACCTGCGTAATGCGCACTCTCCCTGGGATGCCTGCCCTGTCGCAGGCGGTTCCTACGGGTCTTAGCATTCTTATCTGCAGGTGTGAACTTACAGATTTCGACCAAGCCCCGCAACGTGAGCGCCGAGAAACTCCCGCAACTATAACAGAAAACAAACGGGCCTGTCTTCCAGAGTGCGTGGCCTCGGAACAGGTTCCTGTTACCTTTGGTGGAGGAGGAGGTCGGAGGAGGAGGAGGAGGGGGGACTTGGCCTCCTGGCCTCCTACACACCGTGCGGCCCAGGCACTCCTGGAATCAGAACCTGGCGCGCTCCTTCCTCACGGTGGCTTTGCGTCCGCATCTGAGGCAGGAGACGGCAGGCCCTGAGAAACTAACCGGGTGGGGTCTCTGCAGGGCGACGCGGGGCCTTCTTCTGGGGGCAAACAATCCTCCTCCTCCTCCTCCTCTCCCTTTCCCCCTGGCAAGGGGGGGGTAGGGGTAGTGTCGGCAAAAGATCCCGTCCTAACTGTAAGGTCGGCCACGAAATTCAAAACTGCCTGAACGTCCGTATATACGTGCTTATACGTCGTGCTGGTGCCTACAGGTCGAGGGGCGAGGTCAGCCCCTTCATAGGCCGCTTCGTCCGCCGCTTTATTCCCTCGTGCGAGGAAAGCTGCGAAGAATGGGATTTGATTTTGACCGTAGTGAGCCCTACTAGGCCAGGAAAACTATCATCTAGCACGTTCCAAATCTGAGTCCATACATCTGCATGCGGGCGAACTCCTTTGGTGCACCCGGCTCGGCCTCTTCTGAGGCCTCGAAACAAAGTATCGTTATCTATGCCCACTGTGAGCGGGGGAGTGGCTAACTGCAACAAGTGTGCGAAGCCTAACAGCTCACACCGCAGGACAGAGAGGGCTGCTCGCACGCCAGGAGGGCATCCACATTGCGAGAACTCGACGACGAACGGCGACTCTCTCACGAACGAGAACCCCCAAGCGAAACTCTTGTATCCTGGATGCCCTACTCCCGATCCGTCGGAGAAGGCGAAGCCACTGTGCAGGCCCAGCTCTCCTGTTCGGGTTTGACTTCGCTCAATCTGAACATCAGAGGTGGGATCCGCCACAGGGTGGTCTACAATGCCCCGGGCAAAAAGTGGCGTTCCCTCCTGGGCCCTGGTGGCCCTGTGAATAATTGCAGCGTCGTCTTCAGCAATATCTCTGCGCTGCTGGTCGAGCGCGCTGCCCCTGCAGAACCTGTGCTGCTGGGTGCCGATCTCACTGCCGCATGCTTGGCAATCTCGTATGTCTGTCTCTCCCCATTCGCCATCATACATCTTGTGTGCAGAAGGCGGCGCACAGGTAGCTCTCGATTGCGCCTCTTCGCCTCGGGCAGAAACGCTGGGCCTTCTGGCGGAGGAGGGCGCGTACTGGTTCCAGGAAAGGTCGCGGAACTCCAGGTAGCTCGTGCTTCTCGGCCCACTCCTCCATAGCGACCTGCTCGAGCCAGGCTAGCGCGAGCGCCTTGATCGTAGAGGGTGGTACTATCCGCATGTTCAGCTGCTCCTGGTGATGCGTCATGATGATGCGGGGTGCTGGCCAGGTCCATCCAAGTCTGTCCCGGGATCCGTAGAGCGCGGTGGCAGGGCCCCTGAACTGCGTCCAGTCGAACTTGCGGTGAGGGGCCTGCTTAGCTGCTGCTGGGCGCACTGCCCTTCGCCAGCCCGCTTCGAGCTTGGCGTAGTCGGCGCCTGAGTCCCAGACGACCGTGGCCCACTTGCCCATCGGGGTGCGGGTGGCCTGCACAATCGGGTCTGCCGAATGAAGCCAGAGCCGCAAGGCCCTGTCCTTGCCCATGGGCTCGCCGCCGAAAACACTGGACATGAGGATGCGGGCCGTGTCGAGGATCGTGGTGGGGACCCCGAAGCTGGCCGAGACGTAGAACATGCTGGGGAGCAGGCCATTCTTGACCACTGCCCTGATGGTGGCCCCGCTGGCCTTGAGGCTGAGCAGTTTCCGCTTCCTGCCCCAGGCCTTGCGGATTCTCGAGCCAGCCTTCCGCCGTGATATCGGGCCCCCCCCCCGCGATGTCCACTCCGAGCTGCTGGCCCGTGGCCTTGATTTGGTAGCCGAAGTAGTTGGCCATGGCCCTGCAGGTGTGGCGCAGCTCCTTGTCGGCTGTGATGAAATAGCTCTTGCCTGGCTTGGTCCCGCGCTTGCGCGAGATGGGTATGCCGGGGTTCCCTTCGATCTGGTTGATATAGTACTGGGTGCTAGCGTAGATGTCTTCACGTACTTCTTGGCGTCCTCCATCACGCTGCATCTGGTGGTCGTCCACATTTAAAATCTGTCGTACACGTGGCCATTGTAAACTGATCTTGTCGCATACTGGAATGATGACCATCTTCAGTGCCCTGGTGCCACCACAAGAGCCCGCAATAACAACCGAGTAGGTGACAGTGCCGACTTTGGGCACAATCCGCTGGTACATGATCCATCTGGGTCCCGTGCACATGAATATGAACAGGTGTATCACCTGTCGCGGGAAGTCGAGATCGGGGCTGGTGCCCCGCAGGCGGTAGGCGCTGATATGCTCGAAGGCCTTCTCCAGGTCAGGCACGGCGCTGAGGGGCACAACATTGTCTGGTAGGCCTTCCTCAGTTAGGGCCTGGGTCCACATGGCGTTCTCTGCTCCTCCTCCTCTTGCTGCCCAATTATAGTCCCGCGAAATCTTTGCTTCCCATTGGATGTAAATGTCCGCATGCAGTCTCTCGGTGATCCGCATGGTGGTGGTCGTGAGCCCAATGGGCCTAGTATCAGTAGCGCTCTTGTCCAGGAGGAAGTATAGGATGTGCTGTGCGCTGGTCGGCCAATGGATGTGTTGGCTGATGTACATGACCAGGTGGCACATGAACTGCGTGCCGTTGTCGGACAGCTCGCCCAGCCATCTGGGATGTATTTGGTCCGCCCCTACCCCCGTAGTCGCCCTGAAGGTTCTGCAGACTTTCTTGAAGGCCTCGGGGGTGACGTGGACCAGCGGGCGGTCGTAGGTACAGGTGTCCCATGGGCGGGGTGGTTCGCCACGGCTGGTCCCGTGATGGAGGAACTGGAGGAGGAAGTGGAGGAGGATAAGGCAGAGGAGGAGGAGGAAGAGGAGGGGGAAGTGGAGGAGGAGAAAAAGGAGGAGGAACCCCTCCCCCTCCAACTTATGGCGGTGGTGGTGGAAAACAGGCCCATCACTTTTGTTCCCCGATTCGTGCTTGCACTGGAGGGATCCTCGCGGAAGTTGATAGATTTGGCGAAAATTTCACACCGACTTTGGTAGCAGGCTGGGTTCCCGGGTTCCCGGCTCCGGGTTCCCAGGTTCCTGGTTATTGGTTCCGGGCCGATTTCGGTGGGTTCTGGGTTCCCGGGCTCCCGGGTTCCCTGTCGATCTCCTCAGCGAAAACCGTCCACAGATTGGGGTTTAAAGGAGTGGAGGGAGGGGGGAGGGCTGCTCAGAAGGAGGCTGCTGCTTAGAAGGAGGCTGCTGCTTAGAAGGCGCCGTCCCTTGCATCTGTAGACAAGGCCCGCGCCTTCTACGAAGCAGGGGTGCTTCTAAGAAGCCCGCCCCCCTCCCCCCACCACCCTCTGCGTGTGGCCGAAGAACGTCGACCCCGAGAGGCCTCGACCCATTCCCCAAGACCGCTGTTTCGCCCCGGGCCCCGAGGCCCGGGAAGGGCCAGAAGCCGAAGCTAGCAGAAAACCTTCCGTCTTGATTTGTTCACTGCGCGAGTGATCTGCGAGGGTTAGGAGGCAACTACTGGGAGGTCTTCGTCGGCAGGAGTAAGGAAGAGTAAGCCCCATTTGGGGGCTGTTACGCCAGAGTGGGCCTCGGACTAAGCGGGACTAAGCCGGATTAAGCGGGATTGCGCTGCGTCAATCGGGATTAATCTAGATTAAGCCGGATTCCGGACCAGGGCAAGATCAGAATCGGACCTCCCAGGAAATGCATCCCAACGGGAGGGCGAGGGAACGAGCGAGCGAGCGAGCGAGTGGCGCAGCAGCAGTCGAGTCGATAGCTGCGGCCTTGGATGGGGCAGCCGACAGTGCGCGAGGCCCTGCCCAGGAGGAAGCTCTGGCCCGCCCGCCCTTCCGCGGCGAGAGGGCTGCGCCCCGCCGGCCCCGCGGCGCGGGCGCCGAGGCCAGCCCCGCCGGGTCCTCGCCCCCAGTGGCGACACCCTCCGGGCAGCGACGCCGAAGGCCGCGCCAGGGCGGCCATCAGAGCGCGAGGCGCGCGCCCCTCGCGGCCACCTCGCGGGCTCCTCGCCCAGCACCCTCCGCCCCCCCCTCGCGTCCCGACGTCCAGGCCGCGGAGGGCGACGCGCCCGCGGCACGCGGCGTGCTCTGAAACCGACCACGAGCTGGACGCGAGCCAAGCCCTTCGAGAGGAGCCGAGGCTGCGCCCAACTCCAGCGGAGCCCCTGCGGCCGAAGCAGGCCCGCCGAGGCTGCCTCGGCCGACCTCGTCAGCTCACACCACCCGCTGCTCCTCGCCTCGGCGCTCTCGTCCTCGAGCCTCTTCTGAGGGGCACCGTGCCATGGCCTCCTCCTCGCCGGCCAGCAGCTGCACGCCCTGCCCAACCCAGCGGCCGCGCCGGGCCACCGCGGCGACGGCCGCCAGGAGCGCCCCCGCGGAGGCGGCGGACAGCGCCGGCAGCGCCGCCGCGCTGGCCGTGGGCGCCAGGCCGGGCGCCGACGGCCAGGCGCGAGCAGTTCGGAGGGGACCTTCAGCTCGGAGGGCTCCACGCCGGGGCCGCGCTAGGCACCTCGGGGCCAGCCCTGCGACACGCGCAGGCGGACTCGGGCGCGGCCTCGCGGCTGTGCTCCAGGATCCACTCGCCGCCGCCCGCCGGCGCAGACGACGCCGGCACTGCTTCCGCGGAGGAGCGCGGCGTGGGCGCCGCCGTGGCCGCTGGCGTCGTCGACGGAAGCACCAGCTCCAGCGCCATGAGGTTGGCGATCGCGTCGTCGGCGGCACCGGTCTCGCCCGTCGGGGTCACAGGGAGCCCCTCGACCGCCTGCTTGGCCCCCGCGGCGGCAGCGGCTCGCCGCCTGGGTCGAGCAGAAGAACACCCGTGAAGAACACGAGACTATTCGCCGGCGAACCTGAAGAATACACTCGAGGGTTCCCCCCCCAGGATGCGCAACGACATCCAACGAGCACGAGAAACATCAGGGTCCCCCCCCGAGCCCACTTTGATCTTATACCTCGGTCCGACCGTACTTCCCCCCCCCTGGCGAAGCCCAAGGTCGTCGGAGGCAGGCGAGCACGACTGCGGGCGAGGCCCTACTGTCAGACCTGGGACAGAAGAAAATATTTCAAGAACATTTGACCCTCCGCCGGCCAACACACACAGAGAAAATCCAAGCGTGCCTTCCCCAGGATGGACAAAAGCATCCAACATACACGAAGAACAACAGGGTACCCTCTCCGAACCGACTTCGATCTTATATCTCGGTCCGACTGTACATCCCCCACCTCCGGCTTGCCATCATCGTCTGAGCCACCTGCCTGCGCTACAAGCCGTTCGGAATAGGTTGGTGCTACGTTTACACGTTCACGTTGTACCATTAGATTCTGGAATAATTGTCGTTCACCCTGGGCATTCTAGCCCGCTTTCGGGCCCGGGGGCCATCGCAGATCAAACTGGCTTGAGAAATGCCACAGACGTTGAGGTCTAGGGCTATGGTAGCGATTTCTGCCATGTTGTAATCATGCGCTTCACGTCGACGGATGTATGACGCAGGGGTAAATTCAAACATAGAGTGCGTCCAGTCTGCCCCCGAAAAGGAAGGTCAAACGAGAATCCAGTCGACTGCTGAAGTAGAATGCGTGTAAAATGATGGGGATTCGCAAGTCCTACCTGCCTGTGTTTCCTCGTGGAGCGACCGTGCCGCGCACATATCCCTTCTCCATGCTCTTCCAAACTGAGAACATGATATCATGATGGGATTGGCTCAAAAACCGTTCCACAAACTCCACGCCACTGTAATAGCGCTCATTTCTGGACAACGCCCAGAACACAAGAAAATGCCAGAAATCTTGAACCACAACATGACCATGACCTCTTCGGCAAACGAAGGATCCGGGATACGGCTGGTCCGGGTAGGGCTCTGTTTTGCCCTCTCGGTGTGCGGCCTGGGAAAGCCCTCTAGCCGACGAGCCAGAATTTCTCCTGCGCCCGTCAAACGCAGGACAACCTTTACCAGCCTGGAACATATCCCTATCCCTATGCTGGGCACCTCCTTATCACGATGCCAATCTCAGGGGTTCCCTTATTTTCTGAGGGCGGATCCCTAAGATTGTCATCGCCTTTGGGCGTGTCAACCTTAGGGATAGGGATACGTTCGAGGCTGGTAAAACCTCGAGGGATAAGGATACGTTCGAGGGATAGGGATACGTTCGAGTCTCGGAAAACCCTCCAGCGGACGAGTCAGAATTCCTTCTGCGCCCGCCAAACGCAGGACAACCTCTGCGCTCGGCAACCCGCTGGCCCAGGAGACCCGGGGGGGAGGGTGCCATATTGCAGGACGCGCCCGGCAGGCAGACGGGGTGCGCAGGCGTCCACGACAACAGCGCCCTGCTCTCTGCAGCCCATCTCGGGGCCCCTTAGCTCCAGGCTGGCCTTCCCTCGCCGCATATGCTTTCCGCGGCGGGGCTCCAGAACCCCTCCTCCTCCTCCTCCTCCTCCTCCCCCTCCTCCTCCTCCTCCTGCCACCTCCTCCTCATCCTCCCTCCTCCCCCCTCCTCATCCTCCTCCCTCCCCCCCGCCCTCCTCCCCCTCCTCCTCACTCCTCTCCTCCTCTCCTCCTCCGCCTCCCCCTTCCTCCCCCTCCTCATCCTCCTCTCCTCCTCCTCCTCCTCCTCCTCCTCCTCCTCCTCCTCCTGCCTCCCCTCCTCCTCCTTCCCTCCTCCTCCTCCTCCTTCCTCCTCCGCCTCGTGGACCCACACAGCGTGGGCACCCGCGAAAGAGAGCAAGCCTTCGCCCCCGCCCGCCGATCGGCCGCCCTCGGCTGCGGAAAACGAAGAAAAAGTCCCCCCCCGTGTCGCTGCCAGCCGGCCTCCCGGCCGAGGAGGGGGCGTCGCCTTCTTCGGTCCCTCGATGGCGGGGGCGCGCAGACATGGACTACTCCAGATTTCGTAATAAAAGGGAGGGGGTCTCAACCCTCCCAGACGAGAAGTTTTAGACCCTGCCAGACCATCCATGAAAGGGCGGCCCTTTGCCCAGACCCCCCCGAACCTTCCAAGACAGCTCGAATCAGACCCCCCCCCAAATGTGACCCCCCCGACTTTATTATGGAATCCGGAGTAGCCATCCATGGACTTGGCGCGCTGTCGCCACATCCATGGATCGGGGGAGGTGCCCTCCCCAAAGTGCGGCTGGTGGCGCCCCGCTCGGCTGCGGCAGTCAGCGATTTCCTGTGGAAACGGGGCCCGTCGCTGGTTCACGCCCCCTTAATTCATGTTTGCGATCGCCTGATCGAAGGCGGGGTCCTTTCTGGAACCCCGGCCACGGCAATTCAGATCTTACCCCTGGGGGGGGGGGGGGCGTCCACCTTCGACAGGGGGGGCGTCCGAACACACCCCTGGGAGTCTATCCTCGAGTTCCCTCTCTCTTTTCTGAACAGCCTGATCTTTTTGATTTGGGGGGGGGGCTCGGGGATTCGCGGCGAGAGATCGCCTGCCCCCGCTGGCTCCGCGGCGAACTGGTAATCCTACGTCGTGCGCGTGTCGCCGCGCGTGGCGCCGTGCTCCCGTGGGGCCGGCTCGAGGCGGCGCGAGGCCCTGGCCCGTGGTGCCGCAACGCCCGAGCCCCGGGAGCACCTATGCGGGACGGGAAAATGACCACAGCCACTGCTTCTTGTTTGCGCCGGTTTCCAGTCGGCCGAAAAAGAAGCAGTGGTTGCGGTCATTTCCCCGGTGCCAAGCTCAACGAAAATGACCACCCACAACCACTGCTTTGTTTCTGCGGGCTGGAAGGCGGCAACAAAAGAAAAGCAGTGGCTGTGGTCATTTTCACGCCCCGTAACCTAACACATTGTGGATGCCACGGCAGTGGACACCCTCACAGTCCTACCATTGAATTCAACATGTGTTGAACATGTCGGAACATGTTCTGAACATGGTTTCAGCACGGTTCTCGTGTGCTTAAAATATGTGTAACACAAGATTTGGACATCTGAAAACTATTTGACAACATGCTTCCTCTCCATGGATCGTCCTCCACAAATTTAACACTGAAGCATCATGCCTCGGAGCAGGGTATTGAGCGAACCGAAAGCCCAAGCTGTTCACTCACCTTTTGCCCCTCTATCGTCGTCGCCCTCGCCTTGCTTCTTAAAACCTTGCATCCCGGTCTCGTCCGTCACTTCTGACACTGCGCAAAGGCTGTGCTCAAGGGCAGAGTCGATGGCCCAGGCTCGTCTCCGCTGATTCCCGCGCCTGGAGCGTGCATGCCTTGTTGGACAACACGCGTCGGTATCATCTAGTAGCATACGTAATTACGCGCCATCAACAGATCCCCCCCTCCCATCGACGGCAGAGCGGGGCGCGAGGCTGGCCTTTGAGGACATGCCCAGGGCCTCGGCGCACCTCGCAGCGTGCGTCCCCGCCCCGCGCGGCGTGCTCTGGCAGGGCCGCGCTGCACCCCTGCGGCTGCTGCCTCCTCCTCCTCCCCCTCCTCCTCCTCCTCCTCCTCCTCCTCCTCCTCCTCCTCCTCCCTCCTCCTCCTCCTCCTCCTCCTCCTCCTCCTCCTCATCCTCCCTCCTCCTCCTCCTCCTCCTCCTCCTCCTCCTCCTCCTCCCCTCCTCTCTCCCCTCCTCCTCCTCCTCCTCCTCCTCCTCCTCCTCCTCCTCCTCCTCCTCCTCCTCCTCCTCCTCCTCCTCTCCTCCTCCTCCTCCTCCTCCTCCTCACTCTCCTCCTCCTCCTCCTCCTCCTCCCTCTCCTCTCCTCCCCTCCTCCTCCTCCTCCCTCCTCCTCCTCCTCCTCCTCCTCCTCCTCCTCCTCCTCATCCTCCTCCTCCTCCTCTCCTTTTCCTCCTCCTCCTCCTCCTCCACCTTCCTCTCCACCTCCTCCTCCTCCTCCTCCTCCATCCTCCTCCTCCTCCTCCTCCTCCTCCTCCTCCTCCTCCTCCTCCTCCTCCTCCTCCCCTCCTCCCCTCCTCCTCCTCCTCCTCCTCCTCCTTCCTCCTCCTCCTCCTCCTCCTCCTCCCTCCTCCTCCTCATCCTCCTCTCCCTCCTCCTCCTCCTCCTCCTCCTCCTCCTCCACCTCCTCCTCCTCCTTCCTCCTCCTCCTCCTCCTCCTCCTCCTCCTCCTCCTCCTCCTCCTCCTTCCACTCCTCCTCCTCCTCCTCCTCCTCCCTTGCTCCTCCTCCTCCTCCTCCTTCCTCCTCCTCCTCCTCCTTGCCTCCTCCTCCCCCCTTCGCAGCCGCGCGCGAGCCCTGCACGGCCCTGGAAGAGCAACGCAGCCCTCGCGCGCGGTCCGCCTCCCCGCCGGGGGGCCACACGAGAACCCCACCCCTACTACCCCCCCCGATTTCTGAGGGGGAGGGCGGGGGTGAGGGGTATGGGTTCGCATGTGGCCCCCTACCCGCGCCCCTCAACCCCGAGGTCTTAGTCTGGCGCTCTCGTCGGCTCTCGGCGGTGCTCCTGCCTCGAGGTGCTCTCCGGCAGCTGCCCCCCCCGCCGAGAGCGCCCCCGGGGGGGTGCCCAGAACGGCCCGGACGGCCGCCCGAGGGCCGAGCGATAGCCCGAAGACGATCAGGGACGGGGGTGGAATGTCCGCAGCCACGTGCCCCTGGCAATCACGTCGCTGCGCCTGCGTTGCGCGCCCTGCCCTTCCCTTGCCTTCGTGGCCTCTCTCGCTGCCCTCGCCCTGCGTCCCTCCTCCGTGCTTGCTGCTTACCTGGGTGTGGCTGCTTGGATTCAACTGCGGCGGACTTCCCTCCTCCTCCCCCCTCCACCCAGCGAGGGCGGGGGGGGGGGGAGAGCAGCGGGAGAGGGGCGAAAAGGGCCCCCGCCCCAGATGTCTATATATATATATATATATATAACGCTTCCTTGAGAGCCGCGCGGCAGAGATCCCGACCCCTTTGGCTGCGGGCCCACCCCCTCCACTCCTCTCTCTCTCGCGTCAGATCCTGCCCCCTTCCTCCTCCCTGTCCCCGTCCCCCCTCCCTCCCTCCATCCGTGCGGCCTGGGCCCGCCGGGTACGTTGACGACGTTGTTCAGCCCATGATCGCGCATGCGACCGACAGCGTTGAGAAGATGAGAACGTGCGCTTGCAGATCCAATGATGTAGTTTCATGCTTTGGCCTCACAGTCAATTTCAAAAAAGGTAAGACCGAGGCTTTGTTTCGCTTTGATTGACCAAGATCTGTCGAGGTGCGAGGTCGCCTGTTCCGTGACAGTGATGGCATCATTGTTTTCTCCTCGCTTGGGGTGAACCGCGGGCTCGTGGCGACATCCCAGTACAAACATGTCGGGACTCTGACATGCTCTACGGACACCATGCAGCCGGAAATCACCGCCAAGATCGGGGCCATGACGTCGACATTCAAACAAGAGTTCGGGCGGAAGGGGGTTGCTGAGTGGGTTGTGTCGTCCGCGACAACCCCAGACGATTCCGCGCGGCTCTCAGAAAAGCGAAAGGGGAGGGAACTGTCAATTCTGTGCAGGCATGGGCACGGACCCGCCGGATGGCCGAAGTAGACGCTGAGTATTCATGCTCGAACTGCGTGTACACGTGCAGCACGCGACAACAATTGGCCACCCATGCTTTCACTGTGCATGGCGTGTGCAGGAAAATGCGGGCCCTCACTGACACCGACCACTGCCCTGTGTGCATGGAGTGGTTCGGAACGCGCACGCGTATGATTGTGCACTTGGAGGGGAAATCACCACGGTGTCGAAGTTGTCCTGGAGCGTTTCCGGGAGCTCCCCGAGGACACAGTGGCCGCCCTTGACGAACGAGGCGCGGAGGAAGCAAGGGCGCTCGGCCGAATCGGGCGGAGGCGGCACCATGCCGACACCCGGGCCACGCGCCTGGCAAGCCCGATGATGAAGGAGGCGTTCGAAGCCGGTCTTGGCCATACATCCCTCTTCTCCACCCGTCATTCGAATATATCGGGTTGAGCAGCCAGTGCCCCTCTTATAGAGGTCTTGCACACGTCCCGTCTACTGTGATGGCGTGCGCATGTAAATTCACAGTCGCATGTGCATAACACCAGAAGCGCTCACCTTAAGCTGCCTCAAACGAAACGAGGAGGAGGAGGAGGAAGAGGAGGGGAAGGAGGAGGAGGAGGAGGAGGAGAGGAGGAGGAGGAGGTGGAGGAGATGAGGAGGAGGAGGAGGAGGAGGAGGAGAGAAGAGGAGGAGGAAGGAGGAGGAGGAGGAGGAGGAGGAGGAGGAGGAGGAGAGAGGAGAGAGGGAGAGGGAGGAGGAGCAGGAGGAGCAGGAGGAGGCGGAGGAGGAGGAGGAGGAGGAGGAGGAGGAGGAGGACGGGTCGCCTGAGCACTTCGGACAAACCCTCCACCCCTTCCTCGAGCAGCAATTTCTCGACCCTGACTCTGGTCAGATCCCCATGGCCGCAAAAAGGGCTTGTCCGCGGACAGGAACGTGCACCCAGCAGCATTACAGCCCGTGATCTCCGGCAGCGACCCACGGCAGCATGCCGATCGGTATCTTGACCGCCGGAGCATGGATGTGGGTATGTTCGCCGCCCACGATTTGAAGACATCCGTCTGCCCGAAGTCTCTGATTGGCTTCTTTGGACGCCCGAATTGCCATGGATAACTGCGGTCTGGGGTAACTCTGGCTTGGGCCCCCGAGGCGCGAACCCGTAACGTAGCTACCCCTGACCGCCCCCAGCCCTGAGGATTCGGGGGGGGCCGGACGCCCGAAGTGCCTTGGATAACTGCGGTCTGGGGTAACTCTGGCTTGGACCCCCGAGGCTTCCCCTGACCGCCCCAAGCCCTGAGGGCATCTGAGGATCCGGGGGGGCCTGGACGCCCAGATGGCCTGGGAGAACTGCGGCCTGGGGAAAGCTCTCCGGCTTGGGCCCTATGGGCCATCCCTGACCAGCCCCTGCCCTGAGGATGCGGCGCCCTGACTCTGGACGAAGCGCGCTGGCTTCGGACGCCGCGCGGACCGCTCGGCCTCGCCCGGCCGCGGCTCTCCCACAGCTCGCGCCGCTGGACGTCGGCCGTCTCCAGGCAGGCCCGCGCCGGGGCCCAGCGCCGCACGAGCGTGCAGCGGGCGCCTCGGGCGCCACCCTGCGCTCGAACGGCGCGCCGAGGACTCGCGCCAGGCGGCGGCCCGAGGCCGCCACGCGGCAGCCCAGCCACAACCTCCCCGGCCGCCGCGCCACGCCGCCTGGTGGCCCAGCCACGCCATCTGGCAGCTCAACCACGACGCCTGGTGTCCCGAGCACGCCGCCTGGTGGCCCGAGCGCGCCACATGCGCGCCATGTGGCAGCCCGAGCGCGCCGCCCCCGATCGGACCCTGTGTCTCTGCACGGGGGCTCAGCCCTGAGGTTCGACGCCACAAGAAAAATGCAATACTGTGAGCGATCACGACGGACCCCATCGTTCTGCGGCGTAGGAGGAGGAGGAGGAGGAGGAGGAGGAGGAGGGAGGAGGAGGAGGAGGAGGAGGAGGAGGAAGAGGAGTAGGAGGAGGAGGAGGAGGAGGAGGAGGAGGAGGAGGAGGAGAGGAGGAGAGTAGGAGGAGGAGGAGGAGGGGAGGAGGAGGAGGAAGGAGGATAAGAGGAGGAGGAGGAGGAGGAGGAGGAGGGGAGGAGGCGGGGAGGGGGGAGGGGTGAGGAGGGACGAGGAGGAGGCGGAGGAGGAGGAGGAGGAGGAGGACCTCGGTCGATCGGCGAGGGCCTCGGGGCCCGACCCCGGGCGAGGACGCCCCGCTGCGCAGCAGAAGTGCGAAACCCCAGGACATCAGGGGCGACACCATCGCGGCGCGGACCTGCCGCAACGACCCGAGGGTTGAGCCTGTTTTCCACCACCACCACCACCATAAAGTAGAGGGGGGAAGGATGAGGATGAGGAGGATGAGGAGGAGGAAGAAGACGAAGAGGAGGAGGAGGAGGAGGAGGAGGAGGAGGAGGGGGAGGAGTGGAGGAGGAGGAGGAGGAGGAGGATGGAGGAGGAGGAGGAGGAGGAGGAGGAGAGGGAAGACCCCCTCCCCCTCCAACTCATAGTGGTGGTGGTGGTGGTGGTAAACACACCATCACCGAAGGTTGAGGGTTCCTGGCTCGCTGCGGTAACGGGCTGCGCGGTGACCTCGGCATCCCTGACCTCGCCGCACAGGCCGTCACCGCCACGGTCCGGGGAGCCCGGAGGCCCCCGGCTGCCCGAGGCCTCCTCGGAGAACGACCCGGGCCACGAGAAGCTTCTCGGCCACCCCGAGCCTCCACTGACTCACCACACGGCGTGGTCACCGCACCACCTGCAAGGGGGACCCCGACGGGGGCGGCTGGGCGGCGCGCGCGGCAGCCCTCCGCGCGGGCGCGCGCGCGCGCCTTTCCTGCACGTCGACGATGGAGCCCTGCGGGGCGCCCGCGCGCGCGCAAGCGGCAGCGCCGACGGCGACGGCGCCGACGACGGCGTCGGCCTCCAGAGGGAGGATGTGAGCGGGCGAAGCAGATGGATGATATAACTTCCTGATCGCGTTTCGCTGGACAGTTGTCATCGTGTCCAGAACGTTCTCGATGGTTCCCGTGATCATGACAGGGCAGCACAGGAGCTCCACAGGGCGGATTGGGAGCCCTGAGCCACCAGATCTGGCAGCCGTTTCGCCTGAGTGTTCCTCTGAATGCATTCAAGAATCGTGCTCTCGCCTCTTTGCTTACTACATGTTTGGCCCGGGCGGCAACGATCTTATTAACGCGGCCTCGCGTGACCGAAGCCAGAGGGGGCGGATTATTAAGACGCTCTTTTGTATCGCCATGTTTTTATCACCGCGCATGGTCTGAAATAGTTCCCAAGCAGTGTTTTCATGTATGGGTTCTTTCGGGAAGTGGGCCTGTCTGTCGGTCTGGCGGCTTTGTTGTCGCCGTCGCTGCATCGTCGCCGCCTCGTCGCCGCCTGTCTTCTGGGTCTGTCTGTCGGTCTTGCGACTACGTTGTCGTCGTCGCCGACTCGTCGTCGCCCGTTGTCTGTGCTTGTCTGTCGGTTTGGCAGCTCTGTTGTCGCCGTCGCCGCCCCAGTTGCCGCCTCGTCGCCTCCTGTCGTCTGGGCCTGTCTGTCGGTCTGGCGGCTCTGTTGTCGTTGTCGCCGCCCCGTCGCCGCCGTCGCCGAAGTCATTTTGCCCCATACAGGGAACACAACATAGACTGCACAATCCAGTTTACAATAGGGACCCCCCCATATTGTACAAAGAATTTAGATTTAGCCCCCCCCCGATTTATCCGACCGGCCCGCGTATTGAATTTCAAATACGAACTCACACCAGCGCAGCCACACTGGCATCGACACCCCCACATTCATCCACGTCGAATAATACCAGGCATCGACAATTAACTGTTTTCAAAAACTCCTCACAAAGACGATACAAAGTCCACACGCGCGCGGCGTCGCCCGCGCATGTCGCAACCCTTCCAAAAACCCGGCGTCTCGAAAAGAATCACATATCGATGCTCCCGAAAACATGAAAAAATGTGCAGCAACCCGATCATTGACACGATCATCAAGTGCGACGTAGCGGGGTTTTCGCGCGCACGTCCAAATATCATTCGAAAACCATTGCGCGCGTGCAGGGGGTGAGGGTGCGGCACGATCCCTGTCACGTCAACCATGCGGGCCACTCGCGCCCGTCGGCCGCGCGCGCATGCCGAAATGCTTCCAAAACCTTCATCACCGACGCGTGGACACTATCACCGTCATCGGCGTAATCACAATATGCACCGTCGTTGGCTTCGCGGGCGCCATCGTTATCATCATGGTCACAAGCATCGCTAGTATCATTATCGTGTTTGCCATTGTCGACGTCGCCATGTTACCGTGCCCACCCGAACCACCAACCCGCACTGGGATACGTGCTGGGCAGTCCTCAGAGGTCAGCGCCACCGCGATCGCGTCGGTCGCGCCGAAGCGATGCGCCAGCCAACGCCAAGCAGTCATCGCAAACACCGCCGCAAGGGTTTTGCAAACCAAGTGACGTGCGGGTGGGTGTGGTGATTGCGCGCGCAGAGGTGACAACTTCAAATTCGGCAAGGTGAAGTCTCCCTGCCAAAACAATATTAGGATCTACCACCCACCCACCCCCGACTAAATCGACCACCCTTTTTTCTCGCGTTGCAATGTGCGTTCAATTCTGCCCCATCGCCCATCCGAAATGCGAATTTGCAAATTCATATCCTCCCAGCTAAACTGGTATCCCCCATCCTCTGCAGCATATGCTATGCAAGCACACCCGTTTATCAAACATCCACTGTTCCCCAACATCTCTTGCAAATATTGAAACGAAGTGCGCGCGCGCACGTCGTCGCGAGCGCATGCCGAAATCCTTCTTCAAGCAACCAGAAGTTTAGTAAGAAATTCGATATCGAATGCCCCGAACACATAAACACACACACACACACTGTCCCGCAACAAAAACATTCAAAGTAGCCCGGCGGAAGACCAGCCATATGCAATTGTGAGCACCGTCGTCGTATGACGTGCGAGGGGCGTGCCAAAGTGGGCGCGGTGGGCGCATGCGAACGCAGCCGCTGGGGCCGTCGGTGAAGCTCCCTATGGTGTCACGAAGCGTGTAAGGGGGGGGCCAGAATGGGCGCGATGGGCGCGCGCGACCGCAGCAAGTGCGGCCGCGGGCGGAGCTTCCAAGGGGCCGCGAAACATATGAGGGCGTGCCGTGTTGGGCGCGGTGGGCGCACGCGAAAGCAAACGCCGCGGCCGCTGAAGGAGCCCCCTATGGAGCCGCGAAGCGCGCGAGGGGCGTGCCGACATGGGCGGGGTGGGCGCGCGCGAATTCAGCCACTGGGACCTTCGGTGGAGCTCCATGCGGAGCCGCGAAGCGTGTGAGGGGTGTCCCGCAGTGGGCGCGGTGGGCGCATGCGCACGCAGCCACGGGCAAATTCGGTGGAGCTCCCCATGGGGCCACGAAGTGTGAGAGGCGCGCGCCATAATGGGCGCGGCGGCCGCGCGCGAACGCAGAAGCCGGGGCCGCCGATGAAGCCCCCTGCGGGGCCGCGAAGCGCGCGGGGCGCGCGGTGGAGCTCCCCGCGGGGCAACGAAGCGCGCGGCGTGCCGGAACAGGCGCGCGCGGAGGGCAGAGGCAAGGACAGGGATTTGTTCTGCCGCAGCGCAACACGCAACCCGCGCGACACATCAGGGGGGGAAGGGCGAGACCCCCGGGTCCAACGACAAACGCAAAAGACTCAAGCCAACCTCAAACAGGCAGGCTCGATGCTTCTACCCGCGCACACAAGCTGGGCGAAAAACGCAAAGTGGCGCCCTGTCCGGCAGCGCCAGGGCGGGGCGGGGCGGGCGCCCACCATTCATCCAAACAAATGGGTCAGGCCCGTAGATGCCTGATCAGTGCCGCTGCCGCCGCGGCGAGGGAAGCTGCGCGCTGGCACCAGCTAGCAACGCGCGACAAGAAACAACAACGAAGTCCAGCCAGACACCGCCAGGCAGGGCGGGGCGGGTGCTGCATCGGGGCAGCCCCAGAACAGGACGCGACCGGCGACCCCGCCAGGTGATCGAAAAAATATGGAGCAGGGCGCTACATGCCTAATCAGTGCCGCTGTCTCCGCGGCGAGGGATGGCGCGCGCCGGCCCTGGCCCGCGACGCCCGAGATCCTCGGGCAGGCTCGACGCGGCGGCCAAGAGGAGTCGCCGGGCCAACGCAGCCCAGCGTTTCGCGCGAGTACCCGCCTTCTCCGAGACCGAGGGGGGGGGCTCAACAGAGGGGGCGGGGGCTTCCTACTCCTCAACCATATTGGCACACAGGCCAACAGAGACAGCGACGCCTCCGTGCTTGGGATGCCGTCCCCTCGCGATTTGCCTCCAGGCGCGCTTCCGACCCTGAGCTCCAGCCTCGGGGGTCGGCTGGCAGGGCTGTCGGAATCCTCGAACCGGCCCGCCTCCACTGTAGAACTTGCGCTTGAGGCGCGCAAAAACAAAACTGCCGTCCGAGGCGCCGAGAGACAGCTGGCCGCGCCCCAGACCAAAGCCGCGCCCCAGATCCATGCCACGGATCCCGACGCCCGCGCCTCCACGGCACAAGCTCGCGGGCGGCTTGTAGAGGTCCCAGCTATCTTCGGCCCCTTCGATGGACTGTTGGGCCTTGACTTTGCGCACTTCGCACCGCTGGGAAAACTCTTGACGCAAATTGAGCAACTCCAGCGTGCGCGCATAGGATAGTGTCGTTCTTCCCATGGAAGGTCACGAAAACCAGCGCAGGCTGCACAGTCAACAAACAACTCGCAAGGACCACTCGACCAGTGCAGCGCGATCGAGTCGGCGTGAAACTCAGCGGCCTGCGCCGTCTGCGGGCACGGGGGCCAGACTGGCCCCAGCACCCCAGCGATCTCGAGACCTGCGTCGCGATGCCAGAGCGAGAAGGCCCAACCCGCGCGATCGAGCTCGGGGATGACCCTCTTGCTGAACGACCCATCCGTGAACAGATCCCTGACGAAAACGTCGTCGAGCGTGGAGTCCCCGACAAGAGGAGAGACCCATTCGACCTGCGCGCCGCCCGACTGAAGAGGGCGATGGAAAGACACGGCTGGTTGGTTGAAAACCCCGAAGCACGCGAGCACGTCGTCCGCGTCCTCCGCCCACCTCCTCACCTTGTCCTTGACCAAAGCCTCTCTCTCGCTCGACACCTCCGCGCGCCACCACAAACGATGCCTTCGTGTGTCTTCCGCGTCGATGCGCAGCGGGCACAGGGCGGGCGGCAAAGCTTAGCCTAAGTCGGCAGAGCGCTGCCTAGTATAAACGGCGTTACATAACAAAGACCTCACGCAACCTTTCTGGAAAAAGGGGCTGGGCTGAGAGCTCTGGAGCCACCGCAAAACTCCATCGACGCACGCCCTCTTAGTCAGGTGAAATCTGGCCCCATGTCCCACTCCAGCCCAAGAACGACCGCTTTCTTGAGAAGCGTAATCCGCAGCTGAAGCGAAGTTCAAGAAACACACTCTTGTCCCCTTGGTCCGACGCGATCGTGACAAAAGTTCCCATGGTCCAGGACATGCGCTCACAGGACTCCCGAAGGGCGGACACAGGTCCAACAACATTTTCCAAAGCCCCGACTCCCCGGAGAAACCAGCATCCCAAACTTCTCTGAGCTCGGTTAAGGGGACAGAAAACGAGTGCACAAAATGGTGGGAAATCCAAACCTCCTTGGCCCGACGGATGATCGGCGCTACCGCCGAGAGCCAGCGCGGCTCCTGGTGGGCCAACAGAAGAAGGTTGCAGCGCGGAGGCCGCCTGGCGACGAAACTGCAACAGCTCGAAATCCGTAACCCCGTGAATGTCGGCCCCGAAAAAGTTGCCAGCGTTGGGCCCCGCGGCAAGCGCACGACGGGACACGCGGCCCCC